ATCTGCTATGCTGGGAATGACAAGTTGAGGAAGAATGGCATGGCATTCATTGTCACAAAGAATGTTTCAAGATCTATCCTGAAGTACAATGCTGTCAGTGATAGGATAATATCCATTAGCCTACAAGGAAGGCCGGTTAAGACTACTATTATTCAAATTTGTGTACCAACCACCAAAGCCAAAGATGAGAAAACTGAACATTTTTACCAATTTCTGCAGTCTGAAATTGACCAAACATCCAATCAAGATGTGCTGATTATCACTGGTGATGGGAATCCAAAAGTTGGAAACAAAGCAGAATCCCCAGTAGTTGGAAAATTTGGCCTTGGTGATAGAAATGATGCTGGAGATTGCATGATAGAATTTTGCAAAACAAATAACTTATTCATTGCAAATACCTTTTTTCAACAACACAAATGACAATTATACATGTGGACTTCACCAGATGGAGTACACAGGAATCAGACTGACTAAATCTGTGGCAAAAATTGACGGAAAAGCTCAATATCTTTAGCCAAAACAAGGCCAGGGCTGATTGTGGAACAGACCATCAACGGCTCATGAAAATTCAAGTTCAAGTTGAAGACAATTAAAACAAGTCCATGAGAGCCAAAATATGACCTTGAATATATCCCTCCTGAATTTAGAGACCACCTGAAGAATAGATTCAATGCATTGAACACCAGTGACCAAAAACCAAAGGAATTGTGGGATGACATCAAGAACATCATCCATGAAGAAAGCAAAAGGTCATTAAAAGGACAAGAAAGGAAGAAAAGACCAAAATGGATGTCAGAAGAGATTCTGAAATCTGCCCTTAAGTGAAGAGTAGCTAAAGCAAATGGGAGAAATGACAAGATAAAAGAGCTGAACAGAAGATTTAAAAGAGCAGCTCAAGAAGACAAAGTCAATTATTACAATGAAATGTACAAAGACCTGGAATTAGAAAACCAAAAGGGAAGAATGCGCTCGGCATTTCTCAAGCTGAAAAAACTGAAGAAAAAATTAAGCCTCGAGTTGCAATATTGAAAGATTCTATGGGCAAAATATTGAATGATGAAGGTAACATCAAAAGAAGATGGAAAGAATACATAAAGTCAATGCACCAAAAAGAACTGGTCAATGTTCATCCATTTCAGGAGGTGGTATATGATCAAGAACCAATGATATTGAAGGAAGAAATTGAAGCTGCACTGAGGGAAATGGTAAAAAAAAAACAAGGCTCCAGGAATTGACAGAATACCCACTGAGATGTTTCAACAAACAAATGCCGTGCTGGAGACACTCACTCAGCTATGCCAAGAGATTTGGAAGACAGCTGGCTAACTGACTGGAAGAGATCCATATTTGTACCTGTTCCAAAGAAAGGTGATCCCACAGAATGTGAAAACCATAAAACAACATCATTAATATCGCATGCAGGTAAAATCTTACTTAAGATAATTTAAAAACAGTTACAGTAGTATCTTGACAGAGAACTTCCAGAGGTGCAGGCTGGATTCAGAAGAGGATGCGGAACAAGGGATATCATTGCTGATGTCAGATGGATCTTGGCTCAAAGCAAAGAATAGCAGAAGGATGTTTACTTGTGTTTTATTGACTATGCAAAAATATTCAATTGTGTGGATCATAACAAATTATGGATAACATTGAGAAGAATGGGAATTCCAGAACACTTAATTGTGCTCATGAGGAACCTGTACATAGACCAGGAGGCTGTCATTCGAACAGAACAAGGGGATAAAATCAAGGGACTGTGTCAGGGTTGTATCCTTTCACCATAGTTACTCAATCTGTACACTGATCCAATAATCCAAGAAGCTAGACTATATGAAGTATATGGCATCAGAATTGGAGGAAGACTCATTAACAACCTGCGATACTCTGACAACATAACTTTGCTTGCTGAAATTGAGGATGACTTGAAGCACTTACTGATGAAGATCAAAGATTACAGATTGCACTATGGATTACATTTCAATATAAAGAAAACAAAAGTACTTACAACTGGAACTATAAGCAGCATCACGATAAATGGTGAAAAGATTGAAGTTATCAAAGACTTCATATTACTTGGTTGTACAATCAACACTAATGGAAGCAGCAGTCAAGATATCAGACAACATATAGCACTAGGCAAATAGGCTGCAAAGGACCTCTTTCAAGTGCTGAAGAGCAAAGATATCTCTTTGAAGACTAAGGTGTACCTGACACAGCCATGGTATTTTCAATCACCTCATATGCATGTGAGAGCTGTACAATGAATAAGGAAGACTGAAGAAGAATCAATGGTTTTGAGTTGTGGTGTTGGCGAAGAATACTCAGAGTACCATGGACTGCAAAAGAACTAACAAATCTGTCCTGGAAGAAGTGCAGCCTGAATGTTCCCTGGTCATGTTGCAAGAAGGGACCATTCCCTGGAGAAGGATATCATGCTTGGTAAAGTGGAAGATTAATGAAAAAGGGGAAGGCCCTCAACAAGATGGATTGACACAGTGCCTGCAATGTTGGGATCAGGAATAGCAGGGATTGTGGAGCTGGCACAGGACTGGACAGTGTTTTGTTCAGCTGTACATAGGGTCACTATGAGTCAGAGACAACTCAATAGCACCTAACAACAACAATAACAAGGAAGACCAGTTAACATAACTATTATTCAAATGTATGCACCAATCACTGAAGCCAAAGGTTAAGAAATTTAATATTTTAACCAACTTCTGCAGTCTGAAATTGACCAAACATGCAACCAAGATGCATTGATAATTACTGGTGATTGGAATGTAAAAGCTGGAAATAAGGAAGAAGTATTTATAGTTCAAAAATGTGGCCTTTGTGATAGAAATGATGCCAGAGATTGCACGATAGAATCTTGCATGACAACTTATTCTTTAAAAATACCTTTTTTAAACAACATAAACAGTGACTATACACATGGTCCTTGACAGATGGAGTACACAGGAATCAAATCGACTACATCTGTGGAAAGAGACAATGGAGAAGTTCAATATCATCAGTCAAAACAAGGCCAGGGGCTTACTGTGGATCAGACCATCAATTGCTCAAATGCAAATTTAAGTTGAAACTGAAGAAAATTAAAACAAGTCCACTAGAGCTAAAATATATATCCCACCTGAATTTAGAGACAATCTGAAGAATATATTTGATGCACTGAACACCAATGGAGTTATAGATGACATCAAGAACATCATCCAGGAAGAAAGCAAAAGATCATAAAAAAAGATAAGAAAGGAAGAAAAGACTAAAATGGATGTCAGAAGACACTGAAACTTGTTCTTGAGTGGAGAGTAGCACCTAACAACCAAAGAATGGAGAGTAGCACCCAGCAAAAAGAAGAAATGCTGAAATAAAACAGATGAAGAGAAAATTTCCAACGGCAGCTTGAGAAGAAAAAGTAAAGTAGCATAATGAAATGTACAAAGACCTGGAATTAGAAAGCCAAAAGGGAAGATCATGCTCAGCATTTTTCAAGCTAAAAGAACTGAAGTTGAAAAATTAAGCCTCGAGTTGCAATACTGAATGATTCTATGGGCAAAATATAGAACAATGCAGAAAGCATCAAAAGAAGATGGAAAGAACACACAGTCACTGTACCAAAAAGAGTTGGTAGACATTCAGTCATTTCAGAAGTTAGCATATAATCAAGAACCAATGGTACTGAAGGAAGAAGTCCAAACTGCACTGAAGGAAAAAACAAAAAGCTTCCAGAAAATATTCATTGAGATATTTCAACAAATGGATGTAGCTCTGGAAGCACTTATTCATCTATGCCAGGAAATTTCGAAGACAGCTACCTGGCCAACCGGCTGGAAGAGATCGGTATTTGTGCCCATTCCAAAGAAAGGTGATTCCACAGAATGAGGAAATTATCAAACAATATCATTATATCGCATGCAAGTATGATATCTTTGATAATTTCCACATTCTGTTGGATCACTTTTCTTAGGACCGGACACAAATATGGATTTCTTCCACTTGGTTGACTAGGTATCTGTCTTCCAAATTTCTTGGTACAAGTGAGTGCTTCCAGCATTGCATCCATTTGTTGAAACATCTCAGTCCATCAATTCCTGGAGGCTTGTTTTTCTATTCCTTCACTGCAGCTTTGACTTCTTCCTTCAATACCATCAACATCCTCTACAAAATGTAAATATTGCTGAAAGATGATATAACATGTTCGAAAATACCAACATTTAAGTACTATGCAAAGGAACTCTGGGGGCATAGAAGATAAGAGACTTGACTGCTAACGGGAAGGTCAGCGATTCAAACTCACCAGCTGCTCCACGGAAGGAAGACTAGGCAATCCACTTCCCTAAAGATTTACAGCCTCAGAAACCCAATGGGGGTAGCTATGAACTTTTTTTTTTTTTTTTGGAAGGACCACGCACAGCAAAGCAGGCCCGGAGGGAGGCTAACAACGAGCAGCCAGAGAAGTTGGAGGACCTCCGCGGGTAGGATGGATACAAACCATGAGGAGTTTACCAAAGAGAAGCTGTTCAAAACATGCCTGAATGAGATCAAGCAGAGGAAGATTTTCTTTTTGAACTGGGAGTCTACCACTCATGGTGGTCTTCCACAATGATTTAGGGAAGCACACTGAAGGTAATTTTTAGTTGAAAGAGAAGATGTAGCGGGATCAGGAAAAAATTCTAGCCCCTCTGGGCAGGGGCTAAACGTGGAGTGGCAGTAAAAGACAAATTACTTAGCCCCTCTTATGCCTTTAATAAATACTTACTGAATTCTGAAAGTCCTGACGCTCCTCAAAGCTCCTCAGGAATAATCCCTGGCTCAAAATTAGCTCCTGTTTGGGAACGTGCCGTGCTTCCAGCCAAATCCACTCAATCCGGGTGCTGGAAAGCCGCACAACCACCAGGGGGCAAGGGCACACGCCTGTCTGAAAAAGTTGGGCGGGACCAGCCCTGGGGCGGGCCCGGGAACGGCTTCTGACTTCCGGCGGAGCCCTCAGCCACCGCGCGCCTCCGTCATGGCCGCGGACGAGAAGGACCCTTTGAGCTATTTCGCGGCTTACGGGAGCAGCAGCTCAGGCTCCTCGGATGAGGAGGACAACAGCGAGCCGGAGGAAACGAGTCGCAAGGCCTCGGATCCCGTGAAGGCTGCAGGGAGTTGTGGCAACAAGGCGGAGAAGCGGTTGCCGGGACCTGACGAGCTGTTCCGGAGTGTGACTCGCCCGGCCTTTCTCTACAATCCGCTCAACAAGCAGATAGACTGGGAGAGGCACGTCGTCAAGGCGCCTGAGGAGGTGAGGTCCCTGACCCCATTTCCCAGTTTCGGCCCCGCCTCCGTCCCCTTCCTCCTGAGCCCCCTTTTGGGGACAGGCTGTCCATTCCCCCACACGCACCCACGCCCTGCGGGATGCCGCACAAGCCCCTCTCATTTCCTGCCCTGGGGAGCCTGGGTCCCCTCCCCCAACCTGGTGGGTGTCAGACCAGACCCCCAGCTCCCGCCCCCTTGGAGAAGGCCCAAACCTCCGCCTTCGGTGCCCCGACCTTGCGCGGCGAGGACTAACGGTGGTGACTCCCCCGCCCCCCGCTGCAGCTTCTCCCCGAGACCCCTTCCCTTTGACGCCGAAGTGCCTGCGGTGCTGCCTCCAAGACAGTGTCTGCTGCAGCCTCCTGAAGGGGTCAGCCTTGGCGTAGTATCTCTGAGACTGGATTCTTCTTTGGTAACTAAAAGTTAATTAGCTTTATTCATATAGGGAACCCTTTGGCTTTTCACTTAACAGTATTGTGATTTGATTTTTTAAAAAAAATGTATGTTTACACCTTAAAAAAAAAAAAAGTCAGTCTGAACGCTAAGTGAACCGTAGGGAGGTGCATGTGCTGCTATCAATCGATCATAGGAACCTCGGTTCGTCACACTGCTTCTTAATGTGCTTGGTTAACAGCCTCCAAAAGAATTCAAAATATGGAAATCTAACTACATACCACCCCCGGAGACCTACACTACCGAAAAGAAACCACCACCTCCAGAACTGGATATGGCAATAAAATGGTCTAACATATATGAGGACAATGGTGATGATGCCCCTCAGAATGCTAAGAAAGCCAGGCTTCTACCAGAGGGGGAGGAGACAGTGGAATCAGGTAAGAAGGATCCTACTTTGGTGGCTTAAAAATAATGAAGTATTAAAAAAAAAAAAAAGCCAAAGTCACTGCCATTGAGTCAATTCCCAACACCCTTTGGATTTCTGAGGCAGTAAATCTTTACAGAAGTAGATTGCCCAATTTTTCTTCTGCCAGAGTGGCTGGTGGGTTTGAACTGCCAACCTTCTGGCTTGCAGTGAAATGCTTTAGGTACTACACCACCAAAGCTCTTCTATCTATATGAGATACTTAGTGAATAGTATTTAAATCTAGTGAATTAGCAAACTGATTATGATGGTCTTTAGGTACTTTTTGCTGTGTTTTTGAGAAAGTGTGTACATATTCTGGCTTTAAAGTGAAATCTCTGATATCTCAGCCACAGTACCATTTACTGTGTTTTAAGGAAAGATCATAACTTAGTTTGGCTTTAAAGTGAAATCTCTGTTATCTCATGGTGCCTTAATACTAGAACAGCTTGAAATTAATTCATGGATTCTTTCTTGTGACTGCAACTGTGAAGCATTTACGGCTTCGTTTTATATTAAAGCTGTTATCTTTAGAGCTAAAATTATCATGATAAAATGATTTTAACTGAATAGTACTACATAGTAATAGGAGGATAATGACTTAGTTGATTTGCCATAGCTCGTAATATGATTTGATCTCTTGGACTATCAGTAATTTCTGCCTCCATACTCTTCTTACCCCCTCAATTCCACACTTACCACCAAAGCTGGTGTTCACTTTGTAAAAGTCATTTCTGGTTATGTAACTCACTGCTTAAAACCCTTCACCAGCAGGATAGAATCAAGACCTTCTATGATAGGCCCTGCCTCTCCACAGTCATCTCCCACATCTCCCTTTTTTAGCACTTTTAAGATCATGAAATTCAGAACTCAATAGGCCATGCTATTATTTTGTGGTTTCCTACCTTTCAATATATATATTGCACCTTATCCTTCAAAATCTAACTCAAAGAAGAAAAAAAAAATCTAATTATTTGTTCCTCTGTACTTTGTATGTGCTAATGCTCTCAAATGCACTTTTCATCCTTAAGGTGATGGTTTGTTCCTAAGCCTATCTCTTTCATGAAAATGAGTTCCTTTAACAGGAGGGTCCAAATCTAATTATGTTTATATCAGAGTTTTTAGTATATTGTAAGCATTCAATGGATATTTGCTGAATTGAACTAAATATTTTGAAATATTATTTTTAAGAAAGGGTTGTCCTTTTTATTAAACAGCTTTCTGATCTTCCCACAATATAGGGACTATTAGCTCCTTTTACAGCCATGAAGAGAGTTTAAAATAGATAAGAGTAATTGTCAGGAATTCTTACTGTAGTTTTTATTTACCTAGCTTTCCATTTCTTTTACTGATTCCCCTATGTGGTTTAGAAGTCACTAATGGAGGCACAGCTTCAGTAAATGGCATGATTTTGTAGACCTTAGCTAAATTGGCATTTATAATACCTCACCTTATATAGTGTTTACATAATTAATAAAATATTTTCACATAGATAATTTTTAATCCTTACAACTGCTTATGAAATCAAATGGAGAAATGTTGATGAGCGTGTATATGATTGCTCCAAGGTGACAAAACTAGAAGATTCCAATAGGTATTGAATACCTATTGAAATAGGTACTCTCACACAAATTTTCCAATATTACTCTTAGCAACCTACTACAGAAATGGGACGTGATTTATTTTGCTGTTTTACAAATAAGAAAACAATTTCAGATGAAAGACTTTGCCCAAACTAATTCATACAGCTAGAAAGCCGAAAAGGGATTCAGATTTGGATATTTAAATGGAAAGTATGATATACTGAACTGGAATTTGATCTCCTGATGCTTTCTAAGCTAGAATGTTTGGGAAATAGCTCATCCTTCTGTAGGAAGAATGGTAGTAAGGACACTAGAGGTGTATTAGTAAACTGGAGTGTCATAAGCTAGTGTTCTGATATATTTGTGTGGGAGATGCCAGGATTATATATGCCAGGCCAAGCAAGAAAGAGTAGAATTATCTTTTTCCAGCTTGTCTTTTGAGTTCAAATAGGAGTTCTAAATATGTGGCAAATATCACTACTATTTCCATGGATAATTTGTCTCCGTTGATTACATACATGGTGGTTCTCATGAGAAAGCACGTGCAGGCAATATCAAAAGACAAAAGGACCAGTTTTCAAAGTTGCAACATGAGATTAAAAAATAATCCTGAAATCTTTTATTTTGACTTTAATGTTGGTCATTGAATATAATAGTCTATCTTCTTAAAGCACTCTGGTGGCGCACTGCCTAAAGCATTTGACTGCTAACCAGAAGGTTGGCAGTTCAAACTCACCAGCTGCTCTGCGGATGGAAGATGGAGCAATCTACTTCTGTAAAGATTTACTGCCTCAGAAACCCAGTGGGGGTTGCTATGAGTTGGAATCAACTTGATGGCAGTGGGTTTGGTTTAGTTTTGTATTTTCTGTTTATGATAAATACCTTCCTTTTTAGAAGTAATCTTTACCATTTTTTACTCCTTCACAAAGACTCGATTAAAATTTAGTTCCCAACATAATTTTTAACCTCTTGTTTTTAATTCACAACGTATCGTATATTAGAAACTCCACACTTTTCAATTTCTTAAATTATCTAGTTTTTAGATTGCCAAGTTATATAGTTTTTACTTTATCTAGTTTTTAGATTGCCAAGTTATATAGTTTTTACTTTTCCTTCTCGACCTTTTTTGATAGTTACTTCCAAATAATTGAAAGGATGCATGCACCATTTAAGAAAGTAATCATTTCCACTTGTGACTAATCAGCCCTAATTGCTTTCGTGGTTGTAAAATGTAGATCAGTATGGCTTAGATATTAATTGAAGCATTATTAATTGTAACTAATCATCAAAGCCTGGGTAATACAGGGTTTTTTTATTTTTGTTTTTTTTAGAATTTAGAAAGTAAGTTTCAGGGCTTTTGAATGGGTTCAGTCATGGTCAATGAAGTGAAACTAGAAGAGACTCAAATTTTTAAAATTTGGGTGAACAGGAATGAAAACCAGAAAAAATTACAGATCGAAGCCCTGGAGAAGGAGACTCAGAAGAAGTGTGGTTAGCCCATTCAGAGCTTGATGTGAGAAGTTGGATTATTGGTGAAACTGTAGAGAGAGAGAGACACATTCAAAGTGGTAAGGTCTGCCACCACCTTTGAGCCTTCCGTTGTTTTCCACTCCGTGGGCAAGAGATTGGTTGCTGTGCGACACATAACACTGCCTTCAGAGGGATTTTTAAGTTTCTAGCAGGGCTGCAACCTATACTTTTTCCATTTCAGTTATTGTGCCAGTTCACTGAAATTTTAAAAATTCAGGTCTGTTCCACGTCACTTCCACAGCCATGATTGAACCAGACTGAGCCAGTTCAAAGTGTTGGTTAGTTTGTATCAATAAGTTAAACTTAATTACATCAAGTGACATGAATTCCATAATAGAAAAATTGTTTCCTCAGCAGTGCAGTCATGATATCTGGCATAGTGTAGAAGCTCAGTAAATAATTGTTGAAGTAATTAACATTTTCAAATTTTATTTTCTTGCAGTTTTTAATGCAATGCCTTGTCATGTTGCTAGGTGGCATTAGCTCTTCTATCCAAATCACTGATATTGTTGTTTTTGTTATGTGCCCTCAATTCACTCCAACTCACAGGGACCCCTCCTTGGGTTTTCAAGGTGGTATCACTACAGAAATAGATTGCCCAACTTTCCTTCCGAGGAGTGGCTGCTGGGTTTGAACCACCAGCCTTCTGGTTAACAGTCAAGTGCTTTAGCTTTTAGAGCTTCCAAAAAACTCACTGCCATTGAGTCAGATTTGACTCATAGTGACCCCTTCTTGGGTTTCTGAGGTGGTACCACTATGGAAGTAGATTGCCAAATCTTTCTTCCAAGGAGTGGCTGCTGGGTTTGAACCACCAGCCTTTTGGTTAGCAGTCAAATGCCTTAGTCACTATGCCACCAGTGGTTCATGATTTTGTTGCTATTCAGTAAATTTATTTGTACTAAGTGTGTCAGATGGGAGCTCTGGTGACATAGTGCCTAAGGCACTTGACTGCTAACCAGAAGGTTGGCAGTTCAAACCCACCAGCCACTCCTCAGAAGGAAGATTGGGCGATCTACTTTCGTAGTGATACTGCCTTGGAAACCCAAGGAGGGGTCGCTATGAGTCAGAGATGACTTGACGGCACATAATAACACCACAAGTGGCAGGGGACAAGTAAAAGTATCTTAGGGTCATGTTTTTAATGCATATTAATGCTGGATTTTACACTGTTTTTTAGAGTTAGCAGGTATTTTCAGTGTTTTTATTCATACTTCTGAAAATGATAACGACAAAAGATAAGCATGATGGTAATTAAACTCCAATTAAAAAAAAAACAGGGCTTTGTTTTGTTTGATCTGTATGCCATATCAGCTAGTATTTTTGTGTATATATGGTAGACTACTAATTAAAACTTTGGTTTGTAAATTCCTGGGGTGAGTTGTTATGAATTGCATTTTATCTCACTGTCTAAATAAACCCATAGTGCTATATGAAGTATATGACTAATATCACCATGCTATGTTTGAAGATGAATGGACCTTTACTTCCTATTGATACCAGTTATTGTGCACATCAACAAATAGGATATTCTGCATGTGGTACAGTCAGTAGAAGGCAATTGAAGGCTTGAGAAGAGATTTCAAATATATTTCTATCAGAGTTTATGATCAGGTATCAGTGACTCCCCAAATTTTTTAATATGAAGACCTCTTTCAACATCAGAATATTTTGTAGACTGCTACTTGATAAGGAGCTCTGGTGGTGTGGTGCCTAAGGCATTTGACTGCTAACCAGAAGGGTAGTGGTTCAAACTCACCAGCTGCTTCGTGGAAGGAAGATGAGGACAATCTACTTCATAAAGGTTTACCACCTTAGAAACCCAATTGGGGTCTCTATGAGTCAAAATTAACTCAATGGCAGTGAGTTTGGTTTTTGGTATTTGATAGTAGTTGAACTTTTGAGTATCTGTTTATCATAAAAATAAAGTAAAAAATTTCAGTGAATTCAGTAATGTGATTAAAAATAAATTTACATTTTATAAATCACAACATTTGCATGGTATGTATTCTGTCTATACATAGTTCTTAAAATAATGGCATGCAGTTGTTTAGGGAGATGGGACTTGTAGCTGGATTCTGCTGCCCTGTGCTTTTATTTAGTTATGTAGTTAGATTTTCTTAATCAAATAAAGGGATTCACTTTTTCGTGTTTGATGACATTTTTTATTAAAACTATGGACATTGTTTTAATATGAGGTTCTTTATACATGCATACAAATATACCCCTCAGATTCTCCATAGTATGAAGAGGGAAGATAGGTGTTTTTCTATTGCAATTAGGATATTCTGACCCTTCTAGGAATGGGGAAAAAAGCTAAAATTTACTAACAAGTTAAAAAAAAACACCACCAAACCCACTGCCATCAAGCCAATTCTGACTTATACAACAACCCTGTAGGACAGAGTAGTATGGCCTCATAGGGTTTCAAAGGCTGTAAATCTTTATGTAAGTAGCCTGCTGCCTGTCTCTCCCACATACTCAAACTGCCAGCCTTTCAGCTAACAGCCAAGCACTAACCACTGTGAAATCAGGGCTCCTAAACTAACTACTCAGGACAAAATTGAAAATTGAAACTCAGTAAAATCTCTACCCATGAGTGATCTTCTTAATCTCAAAATACAAAGATTTTGGGGAGTATGAGGAAAAGAGGCAAGTTGTTTTTGACAGAAAGAAAGCAGATTGACAGGAAGAAGACAGCTGGTGTCCATTTAAATAATGATAACTTGCTATCTATTTTTGTGAAAAAGAAAACAATTTACACCATTATTACAAAGTATAGGTTGTATATAAATGTAAACAATGTGTGTACTATAGAATATTTGGGAACAACTTTTTTAGAACAAGTCTGAATTTCTTATTTTAAACTACATTAAATATAGCATTAAAGGATCACTTTATGAGGTTTTTTAAAAAAATAAGTCTACAAATTTTTAATTCCTTATTTTCACTTGTACTTTAAAATCAGAGTTCTAAAAGTTACTGTTTTTTATTTGAAAATGTTAAAAGAAACCGTTATGAGGTTATTGATTTCATATAAAAGACTTTTAATTAACCTTTTTTTTAAATTGATTAAAACTCTTCTTTCCTATTTAAAGATGATGAAAAGGAAGAGCATACGTCTAAAAAGCGTAAGATGGAAACAGGAGAACCAGTAAAGAAGAAAAAGTGAAAAACAACAAATGGCAAGAATTGGCTGGACTGTGAAACTTGTTGAAATGTTTCTTTGGACAGATTAAGTTGATATTGTAAATTATTATAATAACATCTCCATGAAATTACCTGTGTTAATTAACTAATGAGTATTGTTCTAGGACCTTTCCTCTGAAGATTTCATTTTTTATTTAAAACCTGTGTGTATTTAAAACTCAAATGGTAACTTGTGATCGTGGAATTGGCAACACTTGGAAGCATTCTTACTATCACAAAATTGGTGACATGCTTTGAGAATTTTGTCATATGTTGATATGCCAGTGTTCTATGAACCTTTTATAAAGGAATATATTTTTAAAGTAAATACATTGTAATGTACTGTGAAATTGTCGGGTGCTTATCAACAGTGTTTGTACAGTGTAAATAGATCATGAAAATAAATACTTATTCAATATTACAATTACTGTATAACATTTATAACATTAATATTTGGATATTTGTGATAAATACCCTCTTTGCCAGGTGACATGTTAGGTTGTAAAAGTATTACCATTTAGGGAGTGCCTCCTATGGTCCAGGTGCTTTGTGCAGTTATCTCTGTTCTTTAACCTAGTAATGTATTGTTATCCTTATCCTTCTTTTACAATAAAGAGAGATTAAGTAACTTGTCCAGTGTTACACAGCTAGTGAACGGTGAATTTGAGATTTAACCTAGGACACTTGAACCCCCAAATCATCCCAGTAAACCACCTACCCACCAATCTATATTTACCCATCTTTTAAGAGCAGCATCAATTGCCATCTCTTCCGGGTACTCCTCTGTGGTAGATAGTGGAGATACTTTCCTCCTGATTGTATTACAGTACTTACCATGTATGCCTTACATTATGAGTATTCATTCATTTCCCTGTTAAATAGATAAAGAGCTTATCTTCTACAATGGATTGCCAGATTTAGCAAATAAAAACATAAGATACTTAGTTAAATTTCAGATGAATAATATTTTTAGTATATATAGTATTGGGGACATACACTAGAAATTTATCTGAAATTGAAATTCAACTGAGCATCTTGCATTTTATCTAGCAACCTTACTCGTGCATCTTTTTCCTTCCCTTACTCCTGTATCTTTTCTCTTCCCAGCTCATATTTTAATGTTTTTACATATGATAGTTCTCAACAAAATGAACTAGGGTTTGTCAGGAAGATAGAACCTTTGATTTGAGTTCTGCAGTTCCAAGATGCAGAACAGTTATTTGTAACACTTCGAATGAAAAAAAGAACAGGTTATACACTCTTATCACTCTTTCCATGATTCTTGCACCTTTATCAGAAAATAAAATTCTTAATATTTTTAAGAGATGAGTTAATTATAGGATATCACATATTTAATGTATTCTAATTGTTTTTCCCCTTATTGGAAGCCAAAATTTGAAAAATTATACAAAATTTGTTTAGTTAGGAACATGAGTCAAGTAGGTTAAAATTTTGTGTATGTTGTTAAAAGTGATTTTGCCAGCTATGGTATTTTGTGGAATGAGAAGGAAACATAATCCACTAAGAACAAGCTTTTGTAACCTGTGTTTTAAAATATATTCAATTATGAGAACCAGACAATGGGAAATTTTTTAAGTTCTATCATGTTTAGTGCTGTTATTACTGGTTCTGAAGCCTGATGATAAATTGGAATTATCTAGGGACCTTTTATAAGAATATCAGTGGTCAGGTGCTGAAGGGGGAGGGAGGCCACATCTTCTGACCTCATCTAACCCCACAAGAGGAAGACAGAATCACCATCAGTAGTCCAACGACTATGCCTGCAAGGCCAGACATGCTGCCTCCCTCCAGCCCTTGCACCAACTCTGACACCAGTGTTTCCTCCCACAGCACCCACCACCTCTCTGCTGGGTTTGCTAATGTGCTGCAGTGGCCACACAGAACTCACAGATTATGGAGTTTATTAGGGAAGCAACAGGCTACAACTGAAGTTCAGGAACATGCCCGGTCTCTCTCAGCCAACAGTGTTTCTCAGTCTCTCAGCAGTGTGTGTCTCTCAGTGTCTCTCTCCCAGCAGTGTGTGTCAGTGTCTCTTTCTCAGCACTGTGTGTCTCATGTAGCTCAGCAGCATGTCTTTCTCAGCCAGGGTCAGAGAGACCCCTTCTGCCTCTACGAGGGCTCCTTTTGAGCCTGGCAGAGTGGCCAAACTAACCAATCATAGTATCAGAATTCTAAACACCTGAGAGAGTGAACTTCCCAGAACATTGCTTTGTGCCACTCGCAATAGAAGTACCTTAGGTGGATAACATTAACAATCAGGAGTTCCTCAGTTGCTCATGGCAAATTCCACCATGGAGTTTACAAAGACTTATGGCTAGAAAAGCCATACCAGGTAATTTACTACACCGCATCTGACATTTCCTTAGAGATTCTGACTGCTTTGGCTTTTTAAAGCTCCATAGGCAATTTTAATGTGAAGCCTACACAGAGAAGGTGCTCATTCTCTTAATATTATGTTCTAGTGTAGGTTTACAAACCCAGGCATATCTTATGTTACTGTGCTTCACTTGATTGCACTTCACAGGTACTTTGTTGTTGTTTTTTACAAATGAAGGTTTGTGGCAACCCTGTATATCATCAAGCAAGTATATCAGCACCATTTTTTTCCAACAGTATGTGTTTACTTCATGTCACTGGGTCACATTTTGGTAATTCTCATGACATTGCAAACTTTTTCATAATTGTCCACTTATTAGACTATAGTATATGTTAATATATGTATGCAGTGGGAAAACAATGTTTGTGACTTGCTTTATTGCAATATTTGCTTTGTTGTGGTTGTCTGGAACTGAACCTGCAGTATCTCTGACGTATGCCTATATATGAATCCCAAAATTGAAGTAATTCATAAAGCAAAAAAGGTTTTTTTGTTTGTTTAAGATTGAAGTCTTTGTATATGAATAATATGGAGGGGTGTGGTATCATATACTAGGGAGTAGTAGTAACACCAACATGAGACCAAACTAAACAAATGAGCGGGGTTATAATTACAACGTTTTGGTTCTCAAGTGCTGGAGAGAATCTGCACTCTGAATATAAGTATGTATTGGTGGAGCAGGTTATCTCAGAAGTAACTAATATTTCAGGGTTTTAAAATGAGCATGGAAGCAGACCTACCAAAAAAAAGCCCAGCATGTCACTTCTTGAAGATCTTTTTAAACTTTACCACTTAGTTCAACTCCCGATTTAGGCCAGTTAATTTAGCAAGGGAACAAAATCTCACTAAAACAGTCCTTGATGTTGCTTTGAGTTTCTTTTCTAGAACATAGTGGAAGGGAAGAAGGAAATGCCACTTATTTGAGGGAAGGAACGTATTTTAGTTTTTTAGGTAGTACCAGCACTTGTGAAGGTTAGTTAGCAACTTCTAGGCAATGTTTGGGGGCGTTGTGGTGGTGCAGTGGTTAAGAAATTTAGCTGTTAACCAGAAGATCAGTGGTTCAAACCCACCAACCGCTCCACAGAAGGAAGATGGGGCAATCTCCTTCTGTGAAAATACCCAGCCTCAGAAACCCAGTGGGGGTCGCTATGAGTCAATGGACTCAATGGCAGTGGGTTTGGATTTTGGTTTAGGCAATGTTTACCATTGCTAAGTACTGGCTATAGTTGCTTTTTATGAGCAGAAAGACAGGATATAGGAAGGAGGCTAAGTATTTTTGAAACAGTCCTACTGCAGCTGGCCATTTGTGTCTTGTTGGGTTGATTTTCAAAATACGGCCCTAAAATGGAATGGTTGCCATGAGTCAAATCAACCAGACGGCAATTAACAATAGGGCCATATCAGTCCTGACTTTTTTATTTTGTACAATGTAACTTAAGAATTAAGCATTTGTGGGCCATGTTTTAAAATTCAAAATACAAATGTTAGATGCTATCAAGTTGGTTCCAACGCTTAGCAACCCTGTATGCAACAGAATGAAACATTGCCCAGTTCTGCACCATCCTCACAATCTTTGCTATGTTTGAGACCATTGTTGCAACCACTGTGTCAATCTATCTCGTTGAGGGTCTTCCCCTTTTTTGCAGACCCTCTACCAAGCATGATATTCTTGTCAAGGGAATAGTTGCTTCTAACAACGTGAGCAAAGTAAATGAGATGAAGTCTGGCCATTCTCATTTCCAAGAAGCACTCAGGCTACAGTTCTTCCAGAACAGATTTGTTCATTTTTATGGCAATCCATAGTATTTTCAGTATTCTTCTCCAACACCACTTAAAGGCATCAACTCTTCTTCAGTCTATGTTATTCACTGTCCAGCTTTCACACACACATGAGGCGATTGAAAATACCATGGCTTGGGTTAGACGCACCTTAGTCTTCAAAGTGACATCTTTGCTTCTTAACACTTAAAAGAGGTCTTTTGCAACACATTTGTCCAATACAATATAACATCTGATTTCTTGACTGCTGCTTCCATGGGTGTTGATTGTGTATCCGAGTAAAATGAAATCCCTGACAATTTCAATCTTTTCTCCATTTATCGTGATGTTGCTTATTGGTCCAGTTGTGACAACTTGTTTTCTTTATGTTGAGGTAAAAAGCTTTGGTGGCATAGTAGAGAAGACATTTGGTTGCTAACCAGAAGGTCAATGGTTCAAACCCACTAGCAGCTCTGCAGAAGGAAAATGGGGCAATCTACTTCTGCAAAGATTTACAGCCTCGGAAACCCAATGAGGGTCACTATGAGTCAGAATCGACTCAATGGCAGTGAGTTTGGTTTGGTTTTTTATGTTGAGGTGTAATCCATATTGATGACTGTAATTTTTGATCTTTGTCAATAAGTGCTTCATGTCACCTTAACTTTCAGCCAGCAAGAGTGTGTCATCTGCATATCGCAGGTTGTTAATTAATCTTCCTCCAGTGCTAATGCTACATTCTTCTTCATGTAGTCCAGCTTCTCAGATTATTTGCTCAGTATATAGATTGAATAAGTATGGTGAAAATATACAACCTTAATGCGCAGGCTTCCTTATTTTAAACCATGCAGTATTCCCTTGTTCTGTTCAAACAACTGCTTCTTGGTCTGTGTTCAGGTTCTTCATGAGCACAATTATGTGTTCTGGAACTCCCCCATTCTTTGCAATGTTATCCATAATTTGTTATGATCTACATAGTCAAATGCCTTTGCACAGTCAATAAAACATAGGTAAACATCTTTCTGGTATTCTTTGCTTGCAGCGAAGATCCATCTGACATCAGAAATGATATCTCTTATTCCATGTCGTCTTCTGAATCCAGCTTGAGTTTCTTAAAGTTTCCTGTCAATATACTGCCGCGACCATTTTTGAATTATCTTCAGCAAGATTTTATTTGTGTGAGATATTAATGATATTTTTCAATAATTTCCACATTTTTCTGGATCACCTTTCTTTGGAATGGGCATAAATACTGATCTCTTCCAGTGAGTTGGCCAGATAGATGTCTTCCAAATTTCTTGGCATAAACGAATAAGCACCTCCAGTGCTGCATCTGTTTGTTGAAACATCTCATTGGGTATTCTGTCAACTCCTGGAGGCTTATTTTCACCAGTTCCTTCAGTGCAGCTTGGACTTCTTTCTTCCTTCAGTACCATTTGTTCTTGATCATATGCTAACTCCTGAAATAGCTGAACACTGAC